TAGAATGCATGGAAAAGCTAACCGGTACACCTATCATAGTGGCTTTTATAGATAGATGACATTCAAAAAAGTATGCACTCAGTTTGAGGTATACTGTATGCATTCAAGTACTCAGGTAGGATAGTAAAGGGCAGAAAAGAAGTTCAGCAAGATCAATTGGGAAAGATGGGAGACTGGTTGCATGAGTGGAAAAATGGTTGTCTTGGCCAACATCAGGAAGTGGGATCATGAGAATAAAAGTATCTTAATATTGTGTGTTAACAAAATTAAACTCCATTCAATAATAAGTAGTAACCCATCTCTCTTCATCACCCTGCATAGTCAACAGTACTTAAAAGAATTGCTCTAAGTCAACCAAGAAGAAACCATTCAGCTCAATTCTTTTTTTCAATAAACTATACCTCCTATTCTTGGCAGTCATGCTAAAGAAATGTATTCCCTCCACAAATCTCTCTGAGTTTACCAGGGGGAGGATTCTTGGATTTCATGAGTCTCAGAGGAGATATCAGCAAATTCCCCACTTCCTTAATATCCCTAACACTACATTCAGAAATACAATTGCAAAGGGGCATCAAGAGAGCAAGGATAATCAGGGTATAGGAAGACATTCTAAAACTACCAAGTCACAGTATGATGCTATGGTGGAGGAAGCTCTTAAAAATCGCCATACTATGTATTCTGACATTGCTGAGCAAGTTGCTCCCAATGTTTCTAGTAGGACAGTAAGGAGAAGACTTAAGAAAAAGCATCTTAGAAAATGGATGGTACAAGAGAGAGTTCATTTAGATGAGGATCTTGCTCAAGAGAGGTTTGAATGGGTATTAGCTCATAGGCATTGGACAAAGGAGATGTGGAGAAGAAAGGTAACATGGGGGAATACAGTAGCTGTAGAAAGGGGAGGAGGAAAGAGGAGAAAATAGGTTTTCAGATACCCATATGAGAAATAGAATAAGGATTGTGTTGAACCTAAAGCTAGGAGAGGAGAGAGGGGGATTAGCCAGATGATGACTGGTTGTTTTTATAGTCAAACACATGGGCTTTTTTTTACTTGTTTTTCTTGATCTTTTTTCAGCCAGTGGTAGAGTTACCGGGAAGTCAATTATTAATATTTATGATCATTATGACTTTCTAGGGATATGTGAGAATATCAGAGAAAAGGCTGGAGAATAAGAGGTATTTGTTATCATTGACAATGCTAAGACTCACTTGCCTTTTAGGAGATAGCTCAGAGAGTAGTAAATTACACTGATAGAAATTCCTGCCTATTCATCAGATTTCAATCCCATTGAAAATATTTGGTCTCTGGTGAAAGGTAAGCTTCACAAGTACTACCCTGAGCTATATCTTATGAAGCGTGATGTCAATGTAGTCAAGAAGGCAATAGTAGAGGCCATCACTCATTGTTGAGAACTTCTTGACTAAAAGGTTTTTAATACTTTAGCTGGATCAATGGCGGACAGAATAGAGGCAATTATTAAGGCTGATGGATGGTATACCAAATATTAATTTCTACTATTTTTTACATCTTTTAATTTTTTTTTTGGTTTTCAAGATAGTGGATTGGTGGATGAGTGTGGTTGTCATTGCCGAAGAATTTCCTCTATTAACTTAAGGTTAATTTTGTCCACCACAATACAGTGATATATTGACTAGGAAAGGGCTCAACGAACATGAAGGCTCAGCCAAGACTAGACTAAAAGTGACTTAGTAAGTGGTAATTTAAGTGGCAATATTGTTTGATCTGTTCGTTAAACCCTTGTATTTACTAAGCCCCTAGAGCTTCAATGTTATATTATGATGATATTATAAGTAAGTAGCTAGAAAGTGACAATACTATAATCTCAAGACTGATGATAGATGTGTTCAGAGATAGTTCTGCGACAAGTTTAGGAAAACCGGATTGTTCAGATGATTTAGAATGGTAGAACTCGACATAGGACAACTCGATAAGATAAAGACAAGTAATTGTTGCTTCAGAGATATCTACTAAGCAATCGATTTCTATGCTCTCAATTTCAGCTTTTAGTCTTCTCTTTCCATCAGAGTATTTCCTTCAACTCCCTAGTTATGACTGAATTTAATACCATTTCTCTACCAGTCTTTACAGCATGATTTTCTCTCGGCACT